TGGATTAAACAATCCAATCAAAAGGCAGAGATTGTCAGGCTGGATAAGAAAAACAAAAAACAAGGTCCAATTATACGCTGCCTATAAGGAGCCATACTCTAGAGTCAAAGATACAAACAGGTTTAAGGAAAAGGAGGGAAAAATTTGTATTATATAAATAGCAATCACAAGAAATCGGCAGAGGCTATATATAAAGACAAAATAAACTGTCAAACCAAAAATGTTACTAGAGATAAAGAGGGATATTTTATAATGACAAAATGGTCAATCCATTTTGACTATAACAAGATAAAACAATTATAAACAAATATGTACCGAAAAATAGAACTTCAAAATATATGAAGCAAAGCCTGACAGAATAAAGGGAGAAATAGACAATTCAACAATGATATTTAGAGACTTCAATAGCTCACTTTAAATAATGAATAGAAAAACTAGGCAAGACATCAGCAAGGAAAAAGGAAGACTTGAATGATGCTATAAACCAACTAGACAGAACAGACATCTATGGAACATTCCACCCAACAACAGCAGAATACACATTCTTCCTAAGTGCTCATGGAACATTCTCCAGGATAGAACATGTCGTAGGCTATAAAAAAAAATTGATCAAAAAAATTGAAAGGACTGAAATTATACAATCATTTTCTGACCACAGTGGAATGAAATTAGAAAGCAAAATCAGCAAAATGTGTGAAATTCATAAATATATGGAAATTAACTCACTAATAAATGACCGATGGGTCAAAAAAGAAATTATCAGGGGAATTAGAAAATATTTTGAGTCGAACAAAAATGAAGAAACAGTATACCCAAAGTCATAGGATTCAGCTAAAGCAGTTGCCAAAGGGAAATTTATATCTGCAAATGCCTACATTTAAAAAAAGAAAAGATCTCAAATAAACAACTTAACCTTCCATCTTAGGACACTGGGAAAAAAGGGCAAACAAAATCCATAGCAAGTGGATTGAAGGAAATAACAAAAGATTAGAGTGTAATAAATTAAACAGAATAGAAAAACAATAGAGAAAATCAGTGAAACTAAATGTTTGTTCTTTGAAAAGATCAACAAAATTGATGAACTTTTAGCTGGACTGACAAAGCAAACACATTAAATAACACAGTCCTAGAAAGACACAAACTACTGAAACTGTTATAAGAAGAAATAAAAAATCTGAACAAAACTATAACAAGTAAAGAGATAGAATTCCAAAAACTTCCAACAAAGAAAATCCCAGGCACAGATGATTTTTGCTGATGAATTCTACCAAACATTTAAAGACGAATGCCAATTCTTCACAAACTCTTCCAAAACATAGGAGAGCAGAGAACCCTTCCCATCTTACTCCGTGAGGCCATTATTACCCTGGTAACTAAGCCAGAGAAAAATGCTGGGTACGGCGCATGCTGGTAGTCCCAGCTGCTTGGGAGTCTGAGACAGGAGGCTCACTTGAGGCCAGGAGTGCACAACCAGCCTAGCCGATATACCGAGACCCCATCTCAAAAAAAAAAAGAAATACATCAATTCTCTTAAGAATATACATGGAAAAATCTCCAACAAAATACTAGGCAATTGGATCCAGCAATATATAAAAAGGATTATATATTATGACCAAGTGGGATTTATCCTAGATAGATTTAGCATTGAAAGTAAATTAGTATAATATACCACATCAATACAGGATGTCCCAAAAGTCACCATACATAGGGAAAATGCGAAATTGTAGCTAAATGTGCCTTTATTTACAAAATACTCATTATGAAATTTTACAAAATTTTTCCTTTGTAGCCTTCATACACCCTGTAGAATAAAGGATAATCACCACAGAAAAGTCATTTTATAAAATTCAACCCCTCTTCCTGATGAAAACACTCAACATACTGGGGAGAGGCCAAGGTGGTAGGATTGCTTGAGGCCAGGAGTTTGAGACCAGCCTGGGCAACATAATGAGACCCTGTCTCTACAAAAAAATTTTA